CTCACTCTGAATTACATCTCCCTCCTCTGATCCAAGACCACCACACACACACATAACCAGAGCGTCCACAAACAGGCACATCACAACAAACCATGTCTGTGTGCACACATTTAAAGGTTGATCTGCTTTTCAGCTTGATTGGCTTTTCATTGTTTAGTAACGATATGAATAATTTATCGGAGGCCTTACATAGCTGTCCAGTTTTTCCCAGAAGGATTTTACCTGTTCTCTTGATGCAAAACACACACACACACACACACAGAGAAAGTGTGCCATGGAAAGGGGAGTCTGCTGCGTTCCCAAAAGTGAAATTCCAGCAATTATTCACAGGAGATTGGTCCGCCAGCTTGTCGACACTCTTGACTGCGCAGAGGAGACTGACAGCCCCATTCTTCCACGTCACTGTGACAGATAAATATTTCACACACAAATAAATAAAGGATGCCCTGCGTTTTCCCTCTCTGTGCTTCTTCACAGACCAGTGCCCTCACACACACACACACACACTCACGGGCCTCCTAAACTCGAATCAAATGCAAACACACGCAGCATCACATTGATGACCCCCATCATGGGGTTTAATCTGGTGTGTGTGGGACGCAGGTAACTCTCCTCTCCTCATCTCCCTCTACAAAGAATCAATTAATGTCTGCCAGAGAGTCGACATGTTGAGGGAGGCCCCTTCTATTGTGCCCCTGTGCTTCTCCTGATCAGAAACGGCCCCTCTGTAATAGTTTAATTACTGTAACGTGCACCATACATGTGAGGTGATTACGCCGATCCCCCTGGGAGGAGTAAAAATAACACATTTCGGCTAAAATGGGATATTAAGTGCATTAAATGTCTGCGTTTGTAATAGGCATCACTAAATGTCTGTTTTTTTTTTCTTCTTATGGACTGCCTCTCAGATGTGGAAAGCTTAATGATTCTCTTTAAAGGATTGTTCACCCCAGATAAAATAGCATTTACTCGCCCTCTAGTTGTTCCAAACCTTTGTAAGTTTCTTTTCTTTCTGTTGAATATAAAATGATATAGCTTGAGGAATGTTGGAAACTGTGTTGGGAAAGTTACTTGAGAAAAGTAACTAATAATTACGTGAATAAATACATTAACATTTTATTTAAACTACTTAATTACTTTGTTGGAAAGTTGGAAGTTTTTGGCACAACTGAAATATCTCACTACATAGACGATAGAAATGAAACTCTTTTATCTCTTTAACAGGGTCAAACAGGGCTTTCTAGAGTAATTTAAAATTTAAACTCTTAATTTAAGTCAAACACTATACTGTATGTATGAAAAAATGAGACACTTTAAAGTAATAACACCACATATTGTCCTTTTTTTTCATTGGGCGAATCTAACCCTCGGTTGAAATCTGTCTTTCTGTCTGCACGCACGCACGCGTTAATTATATTTGTTTATATGTATAACAAAAAAAAAAATCTAGTTATTCTGCTTCACTGAATACAGAATGGCTGAATATATCTACAGTATTTAAGGGAAGAACATTAAAGTAACTGTAGTTTTCTAAAAGTGAAAAGCAATATTTTATTTTTCCAGCAGAAATAAGTCATTTAATTACAAAAATTATTTACTTTGAACTAACTACACCGGTTGGAAACCTGCATCTATTTACTTGTACAGTAAGAAAAAGCACACTACAGAACTCGGTGGCTACAGACTTTCAGCTTCTTTGGTGATAAGCCACCTTGCGGTGGTTATCGTCATTCTTCACCTGATTGAATGAGTGATTGAAGGTGAGCTTTAGTCATTCATTTTATCTTCTAGGATCCTTGATCAAATAAACTACTGTACTCTTACTCGTATTTTCTTTTCTTCTCTCTCCTTTTTTCTTTCTTCACGCCTGACCCAAACCACAGAGTGGTGTTATCATGATAGCACCAAGATAAAAAGCAGACTGAAATATTTATGTTGGTGTTATGACTTTGTTCTGCTGTATGCGGATAGACTGACTTGAGTGTGCCGTGATGCTGGGGTGTGATCTGCTTCATTAGGAGGATTTCTGAGTGTGGATTAAACCCACTGAGGCCTGGGCCCTCCACTGAGACCCACAGACGTACCACACACACACACAGCTAATCCACTTCAGAGACACAGCACCTGACTTCCCAAACAACTTCATTCACTTTTAAGCTCCTTAGCGATACAAAAATACACAATTTCTTCATTTCAATCACCTCTTGTGCTGTTTCCTTGTTCTCATTGATTAATTCCACTCTCTATCTATCTATCTATCTATCTATCTATCTATCTATCTATCTATCTATCTATCTATCTATCTATCTATCTATCTATCTATCTATCTATCTATCTATCTATCTATCTATCTATCTATCTATCTTTATGCCAAGTATTTTTTCACACTGTTGTTAAACTGCAGTTTCAATAAATTAAAATATAATCAAATTTGGTTAAATATAATACGTATAATAAGTTAACTTTTTTTTATCTATTTTGCTGAATGGCAATGTAGCATTATTTCTTCCATATTTTGATGTTTCATTTTCACAAAAATTATTTAAAACATTTAATTTGATGCACCAAATAAGTTGTCTAATCTTTGACCCACATATTGTTCTGTAATGTTGCAAAATAATTATTATTGTTATTTTGATCATTCTATTCATCAAAGAATTCTGAAAAATGCATTTATGCCCTCATAAATATTAAGCAGCAAAAGTTTGCTAAAAAAAAAAAAAACATGTTTCTTGAGTATCAGCATATCATTTTCGAAATATTATGTGCCATGAATAAATTACATTCTTAAACACATTTGAATAGAGAAAGCTAATTTTGAGCAGTAATAAAATTTCACAATACCATGTTTTAGTTCTTTGGAAAGCATAAAAATACTTTTAAATGGTGATGTAAATATAACAAAACGTAAGACTTAATATAAGACTTTGCCTTTTCTCTCTCTCTTAATCAAACAAAAACTTTGACTCAAACCTGTAGTGATACAGCTCGATGAGTAAGTGTAGAGAAAACAGAAAGAAATGGAAAGAAAAGGGAGAAAAGACACAAGAGAGAGGAAAAGAAAATCAGCGCCTCTAAAAACTACTTGATTTTCAGTTCCTGAAAATAAACAGTAGATTAGATCTCAGTGGATGAATAAAGAACAACTCACTAAGAAACAGATCAAATAGACTGCATTCTGTGCCTTCTGGTTCTGTTAACCTTACTGACTGAATGAAAAAACCTAAAAGAGTAAACACAATTCATTTTAAGCAGAGAACAACAACAGGTAAATTAATCATCTTATGGATGTATTTGGATTAATTGTTAATAAAGAAACAGCTTCCACATTTGTATCTATTTTTTAGATACAGATTAGAATACAGCATAAACTAACACATTTTTATTCAATCATTAAAGAGTTTAACTAAGATTAAATATCAAATTATTTTAAATGGGATTCATTAATGATGAAACTGATTCGCATTCATTAATCAGTTTCATGGGTGTTTTTTTCTCTGTGAACCCTCATGGGAAATGTGTGGAGTTATTTCCATCTCCAAATATTCTCTGCTAAATCCCTTATTTCTGCTTCCCATCCCACCCCCTTATCCCAAATTACAACAGAAAAAGATCCCGAGCATGAAAAAAGGGGAGAGAGAAAAAAAGCACAACCATACATCAAAAGACAAGCATGCAAACAAACAAATAAACTTGCAGATGAGACTGAATGAATGATAAACCCTCTTATTAACGTTCCCCTTTCTCTCACTCTCTCAATCTGTGTTTGTAAACCCTTGAAATCTTGTCACAGCCCCACTCAAAGGCCGGTCCAATCTGGTCTGAGGTCTGTTTCTGCTCGTCATGACCCTCCTCGGCTTTTGTCCTGTGTGTCTGTCGGGGTCTGGCTGTGCTCTGCGTCGCTTCAGGCCTTTATTAAATATGCACCTTCCACAAAACCAGCCGCTAATCTCCACTGAAGCCTGGGACCCGCACATATGCAAATCCACATCTGTTCCGCTTCAAAGAGGAGATTCACCGGGATCACGCTGCACACAGGAGTCTCACCCTCACCCCAAATCACAAAACCGATCACACACACACAACCAACCTCTATCTCTCCGACCGCTGACCCCCAAACCCGAGCCTCAATATGTACACTACGGTTCAAAAGTTTGGGTAGGTGTTTGAAAGAGTTCTCTTCTTGTCTCCACCTTAATTTATTAGATAAAATACAATAAAAACAGTAATATAGTGTGTGTATATATATTTTTTTTTCTTTTTTTTCCTTTTTTCTATGTTGAAAAAAAACTTTTCTAAAACCACTACTAATATGAATTAGATTACGTTAAAGAACAAAAAAGCAATAAATGAAACTTTTGATAAATGAAAGATTGATGTGATTTAAAGCTGAACTTTTACATGATCCTTCAGAAATCTGTCTAAAAAAGCTCAGTTGATGCTCAAAAAAAAGTCTAATTATTATCAATAGCCACTCTTTTTCACAATTTTGGAGAAATCTGATAAATTAGCATCAAAACATAGTATTTAATATATTAAATTGATTAGTTAAATAGATTTTTTTTTAAATTTTCTTTTAAATCAATTATTTTGAACTTCCTTTTTATCAAATTTTATGAAAACACCTAATTACCCTGATAAAAATTGATTACAGAGCACCAATAATTGATTGAAAAGAGCAGCAAATCATATTATTGTAATAATGTTTCATTAAACTGTTAAAATAACTGTAATACGTAATAAGCATTGCTGTTTTGCTATGTTTCATATTGAATAAATAACTAAATAAATGACAAAAGAGACAGATCCCGAACTTCTGAACAGCAGTGCACGTACATATGCTACCAAACACTTCTCCATTCACCTCCTTGGCTCATTAAAATGAGAGTGTCTCTCTTTGTGTGATCGCTCTGTTTTCTTTTGTAAGGACTCGGAGAGACAGGAGGCTGAGATCTGTTTACCCGGCCCAGGGGCGAGAGGAGGACCAGAGGGGTACTTACTCAATCCTACATAAGTGGCACCACATCGCCAGAGCCTTGAGACATCCTCCTGAGCTAATTCAGCAGCGGATTAGCAGATCTCCAATCCACCGGACAGCTTCATCATCCTGCCGGAGCATACGGAGCTGTGTCAACACCAGCAAACGCAGCAGTATGTCAGAAGCACAGCTACAGGGGTCATTTGTAAGACTAGCGAGTAATGCTGCCCCTCCAACAAAAAACACAATCTCCAATCAATGTCATTGAAATGTTCTCTTTGTTGACACCGATAGAGCTTGATAAATTAAGACAAGTCTATGAGAGTGAATAGGATATGGAGGTACTTCTTTTTGTTGAAATTTTAATAATAATAAAAGTAAAATGCATTAGATAATAAAAGACAAAAACTAAAATTAGATTTTTTGGTTAATTAAAATCAAGAAAAATCAACTACAACAGAAATAAAAAATATTATGACAAATTAAATTAAATTATTGACAGCTAATTTAAAATTTAAAATAAAACTACAAAAATGAACAAAGCAATAATAAAAATGAATGAAAAAGACAAAGGCACATACCAAAAGTACTCAAACTAAAATATTTTATAATAAAAGTTAAATATACAGTAGTTCAAATATAGTTGATCATTTTAAATATTTAGGTAAAATTAGTGACTCTAAGTTATAAAAAACACATTAAGAAGGTTTCCAAAAGTGCTAGAGCAAGCCTGAGGATTTATAGAAACATTAGGCATCAATTACCTATGGCTGCTGTTAAACTTTTTATGAATACAATGATTTTGTCTTATTGTGCCACAAGCTGGTCCCACACGAACATTAGAACCTTAAAACCTTTGTATAGTATCTATAAACAAACTGTAAAAAAATTAGCTAAAAAGCCAAGGAGCTACAGTATCATTACTGTAACTGTATTGCACAACATAAATTACTAACATTTGACAGTTTCTTATTTTATGCTGATGTGTTTCGTGTATAAAATATTTAATGACCTTGCACCACCACCCCTCAAACAATGTGTGATTGTCTGCAATGACAATATAAGACAGACTAGGTCATCGGTTAGAGATGATTTTTCAATTAAACTTAAGAGAACTGCTTTTGGACAATCTTTTTTTTTTCAGTCAGAGCAGCAGAAAGATGGAATAAAATACCAGTGCATATCAGAGAGGGTACCACTTTTAATCATTTTAAAGCTGTTCTTAAAATTTGGCTTGAACAAAATCATATATGCAACAACTCATTTCATTATATTTTATTGACTATAATGTATTGTATGTATTATACTGTAAGTGTATATTGTATTGTTTTTTTACTTTTAAACTTACAACTTTCTGCCCAGGGACTACAGATGTAAATTAGCTTTATAGCTAACTCTGGCACAACATGTCATGTTGTACATTGTCCCCGTATAAATAAATGAATAAATAAATAAATAAAACATCCTAACTAAATTAAAATACAAATAATCAAAAGAAAAATTAACATAATTAACATAATCAATAAAAAAACAAACTTTAATCATATAATGTTTAAATAAAATATGATAAAGTACAAAAAAACTACAATTTAAACAAATAATAATAATACACTGACTAAATGCTAAATAAAAATGACAAAGCATGAAAAACCAATATAAAAACCAAAGTATAAGTACACTGCTTAGTAAAAGCATGAATTCAAAATATAAAAATACTGAAATATATTTAAAACAATAACAAATATCAGAAGAATACAAATATATCTTAAATATATATATATATATATATGGCACTGCTTTTAATTCTGCACATGCAGAACTCTATTTATTAGATAAAAGAGGTGCTTGTGAATGGGGCACTTTGAGGAGAACCCCGAGCGTGATGTATAAAGATAGCAGATTTGCATGTTTAATTAAGCTATCAAACCACAAAGCAGAAAGCTCAGCTCTAAATCTGCAGAGTCAACAACCCCTGTAATAACACACAGCCCCTTCTCCAAGCCAGCAGCAGAGACACATAGAAAGATGTAAAGCTCTTCATTTACATGCAGTGAAAGACGTTCACAGCCTATCACAGCAATAAAGTCAAGCTGGCCTCTTTGTCAAGCCATGCTCTCTGAAAGAAAGGGGAATAAACAAAGAAGAAAAAAAAAGTGAAGAGAGGGAATGAATTAGATGAAGAAGCGAACGCAAGGGACTCGGTCTGTCTTTAATCAGGTTGATGTGACGTCGCTCACTTTCCTGGGCTCAGGTTTATCTCTCATTAGCCGGGCTGTGGTGTGAAGTATTGTCCCTGAGTGTGTTTGAACTGCACCAAAGGAGTGGAGATTTGCTTTAATCCAACCCATCAAAGGTAACATACTAACACGCATGTGCTAAAATATACACACGCATACGGCGTTCCTGGATTAGACTGAGTTGTGTGTGTGTGTGTGTGTGTGTGTGTGTGTGTGTGTGTGTGTGTGTGTGTGTGTGTGTGTGTGCGTGTTTGGAGGGGGCCCCGTTTCACCCGTTCCACTTCTGAGATGTGACACCACTCACCCGCCATGGGCACACTGAGGATGACACCTCCAGCACGCATTTAAATAATCTGCCGAGGTTTGGGTTACATAATTATGCCATGACAGTTTGTGTTTGTGTGTGTGTATGCATATGTGTGTGTGTGCTGCTGCCAACGTCGCCAGGCTTACTGGTTTCGGGGATAAGCGCCATGGGCCTGGACTGCTCCGCGAAGGCTGATTTTGACAAATTTGCAATTCAAAACAACTTATGAAAAGATTTTTTTTTTTTTTGGCCTTATGAATACAGAATTTGGAAAGCATATTTAAATTTTGCCAGACAAGGAAGGAAGACACCCTCCGTAATGGCAGAAGAACCGCAGTGGCAGTGATAATTAATAGTTTGTACTTTTTTGTATACTGTATACTGAACAATAAAAAATGAAGATAATAGAACATTTACTAAATGTGAATAGATGTAAAAAAATAGATACAAATCAATGAAATATACTGAAGATATATCAAACATATTTAGTATAATGTTATGTTTTGAAACTAGCAGTGACTGATACATATTGAAGATTTACATGCATATAAGAAGCGCTTCTTTCTGTTAGTAATTACAGAGAAACAGTAAGAATCAAAAGAACAGTTAAAAAGAAAGATTAGAGGATTATAGATACAATTATAATACAACATTATTATTATATATAATACGACAGACCGGCAGACATACAGTATATAGAATGATAGACAAACTGGCGGACATTCATTCATTTTCCTTCGGCCAAGTCCCTAATTTATCAAGGGTCATCACAGTGGAATAAACCAGCAACTTATCCAGCATTTGTTTTACGCTGCGGATACCCTTCCAGCCACAATGCAGTTTTGGGAAACACTCATATACACTCATATACATCACACTTATACATACACAATTTAGTTTATTTAATACACCTATACTATATCTTTGGATTGTGGGAGAAACCGGAGCACCATGCAAATATTGAGAGAACATGCAAACTTCATACAGAAATGCCAAATGGCCCTGTCGAGACTCGAACCAGCAACCTTCTTGCTGTGAGGCAAAGGTGCTGCTAACTACTGCACTACAGTTCCGCCCTGGGGGGTGGGGGGAGGGGAGGGCGCGTTTCCCAAAACCATTGTTAGCCAACTAAGGTTGCAAATTCCGTCATTACAAATATAGTTTGTTGATTTGCCATTTCCCAAATCTGTCGCTCCAACGAACATTTGCAAACTGCGTCGCAAACTTGAGCACTCGCAACTACAGTTCTGGAGCTGTAGTTAAAAACATAATTCCTGGCTGTGTTCTATTCCCACTATTATTATTATTATTATTACTATTACTATATTGTAGTCTATTGTAAAAGTAGACTTTTCAAAAAAAAAATTTAAATAAACAATATCCTACTTAATAATAATAATTATTATTATTATTATTATTATTATTATTATTGTTATTATTGTTATAATATGTGTTAGCTTTTGTAAGTGATATGTTTTAGAATAGAACATGTAATGTTTAACTTCTCAAAAAAAATTGTAAAGTAAACATAGCCCCTATGTGCCATTTACATATATTTCAGTTAATAAGGAAAGTGGGTGTATGTTTTTACCAAATCTAACATTGTATTTTATTTTAAATGCGTGTGAGTGTTAAACAATATAATTTGCACAAAGAATCAATGGGTTTTTCTCTAAAGAAGTAGTTACTCCACCCAGGTTACTGCATCATTATGAGAATTTTACATTATAACTAACGTGGTTCATGCAATGGCTGGCGACAGAGAAACTACGGGTTTTGGGAAACACTCATCACTATATCATTCTTCTCCCAAACGATGCATCTTACTTTGATAGTTCAGTGGTGAATTACGTCGTTGTTCGGACGGACGGACGGACGGACGGACAGACAGATAGATGGATAGTTAGATTGATTTATTTATGCCATAAATACTACAGGCAGGCAGGCAGACACACAAATATATACTACAGACAGACAGACAGACAGACAGACAGACAGACAGACAAATAAATACTACAGATAGAATGACATACAGTCAAAAAATACTGGACACAGACAAACAGACAAATACATATTACAGACAGAGAAAAAACAGACAGATAGATGGATAGATAGATCCACAGTATTTATGCCATAAATACTACAGGCAGGCAGGAAGACAGACAGACAAATATATACCACAGATACACAGATACCACAGACGGCCAGAGAGACAGACAAAGAAATACTACAGACAGACAGATGGATAGACGGATACATGGATAGATAAATGTATAGGGGAATTACCAACCGGACATTCCAGTTGCAAAAAAAGACCAGCTGCAATAGTAAACATGTCTTGTTGTGTGGTAGGATGCCAAATTCGAATTTACCTTACACCACACTGCTTTTAATGCCAACCGTAGACGTCTTTAGCTAATAGCCATCAGAAGAGCTGAATGGAGTGAGGACCTAATTAAAAATGCTGAACTCTGCAGTTCTCATGTTATATCTGGTAAGTTATGGTAAGCACATTACTTTTTTTATTGCAGCAATGATTTCAGCAAAAACAGTGACATACTGTATGTTTAATTAAACTGCAGACACTGAATGCTACGAATGAAATGTAAAAATTGAACTTTGCATACTGCTGTATGGGTGGGGTTTGCTGTCAGAATGCAGTTGTTTTGCTTGTTA